AAATATCACTTACGAATAAAAAAATTCATACAAGAAACTATAAGTTGAAAAGTTCATTAAGGGACATATATGTAATTTCATTCTTTCAAAATACATTTAAAACCAATAGATAATAAATTATCAAGTATTGGTTGGACTATTTTACAAATAGCTACTAAAATTTCTTCAAACTGATCTGCTGAAAAATGCTCAAAATCGATACTTTAAATTTAAAAAGCACTCATAACTCATACCCAAAACTACCAAGCACGCCGTTAGTACATTTTCTCTTTTGCAAGTTTTGTTATAACAAGTGTACATTTTGAATACAATATTAAGTCTGTGTTTGACTTCAATTTTTTTAAATTTATTTTCAACCACATATTTTAAAAAATTCATAATTTTTATCAATTTTTTCAATTACATATTTATCAGTTATTATCAATATCTATTAAAAATCTAATTTTTAACCAAACTAAAAAGTGACTAAATACAATTTTTTTTTCAGAACCGTGAATATCCGGACCAACTTGCGCACACCTCGACTAATCCCACGAGACCTTAAAGTTTACGCCCGAATACAAACCTCAGTGACCCTGAAAGGACTCGAACTGGTGACCATTGGAAAACAAACACAAATTCTGACTAATTGAACAACTCTTCAATGTTGACTAAATACCATTACACCAACATCATATGAGATTTTACTTTATTTTATTTTTTAGGACTATTTAGTAGTGTCTAAACTTGACAAACTCATGTTTATTATTTATTTTGTAATAAGAAACAAGTCACCTACCACTATTTTTTGTTTGTTTTTCAAATGTTACTTCTACGACAGCCCAACTAATTCTTTTTAAGATTATTTCTTCAAATATAAAGCATAATAAACAAGTGAAATCATGTTATAGAACTCCAATCGTCTTACATGTCCCATACAATTTATAAATACAAGAGATTACGGATCCATTTGACAGGCCTTTTGAAAAACTATAAGTTGTTTCTGATATTAAGAAGCTAATTTTGAATATATTTGAATAACTTTTTGAAAATATTTTTTTTTTGTTATAAGAGTTTTTAAAAAAAGTCGGCCTAGAAGCTTTTCTATAAGTAGAATAAACAAGAACAAAAGTTTTGTCAAACAAGTCCTAAGTAGTTTAAACCCTTATTGACATATTTTCTTATGAAATAATAGTACTAACTAATATAAAGAGGATGAGAAGTTAAAAGTATTAATTGTTATAATACAACCTGAAAAATATGCATGACATCATTATTATTTTTCATATTCAGAATTGGAAAATTTTTACCTTAACCCGTTATGTCAAGAAACAGAAAAAGGGGTTGAAGATTGTCAAATTATAATTTGCTTTTTTCAAAAGACGTTCTTATCTTTTCTTCTGTGCTTAAATTACACACACACAAAAAACCAACTTAACTACTGCCAACAACTACTAATTATGAATATAACTCCAAAAACTTGATTCAATCTAGAGGTGTCAATTGAACCGAGCAACTCGTCGTTTCGGCCGCTACGCTCATACTGTAGTGACCCACGAGCCGTTCGGACTCGTCAAAAGACGAGCCCTAGCACGAGCCCGAGCCTAGCCTGCTCGACTCGTTAGGGAGGCGAGCGCTCATGAGCTCGTTAAAAAAAACATTAAAAAAAAAAAATAATGAACCACGAGTCTAGCCAGTTCGGCTCTTGAGGTCGCGAGCTCGTGGGCAGGGCTGAGCTCGAACGAGCCATGAGCCGGCTCGTGGCTTTAAGCTTAGCTCGGCCCATTGACATCTCTAATTCAACCAAAATAAGTCAATTTAATAATTTGCGGTGCAAAGCAGCCTCTAAATATCTACGACGTCATTGTCACTGAATCATGCTTTATGTCATTTAAGTAACACAAAGCCACAAGAATATCATATTACATTAATAGCCTTTATAATTTCCATAATCAAGAAAGTTATATTTTGCAATTTATTGGTGAATGGAATTATTTATGGATCACCTTGAATGGAAATTGTTTATGAACCAACAAAAATTATAGTATACAAGAAAAAGGCAGAGCAAATTTGTAAAAGTTTTTTTTTTTTTTTAAGAATCATGTTTTATACCTCTAGTTCTAATTAAAGTTGAAAACAAAATAAACAAAATAAGAAGGCACAAATTACCACCAAACCAATCCCTCATCCCACTCGAGCTCATAGAAGCAAGAGTTGGGACGAGGAATAGCTGTAGGAGTGGCAACAAAATGAGCAGACAAGGTTCGGGATGACCCTCCCCATTCCCACCTCAACTGGGATTTTCAAGGACATAGCAGATGCCGCTTTTTCAATTATTTATTTGTTTATTTTTATATACTATTAAATCTAGAAACATAAAATTTGAATTAAAAAAAAATTAGGATGCGAACCATATTCCCCATCCCCACTACATTCGAGGTCAAGGCAGGGGTCAAAGTATTTTTCATTTCAAGCTGGCACTAGGGGAACGTGTAGGTTGAAAGAGAAGGTGAAATTTCTTTCTTCTCCTTTCCAATTCATTTTCCTTTCTCTATAATCATTTTCTATCATTATGATAATGAAATATCGATGATGTGACAGTTTTTGTAAAATAATGAGATTGAAAAGTTCAATTTTTATGAGAGAAAAGTGAAGGAGAGAGAAAGAAATGCGAGGGATAATGATTTGTCACATCGTCAATGCTTTATTATTATGATGATAAATAACATTACTCCATATCTTAATAAGGTTTTCATTTATTAGAGGCCAAGGTGGTATTATAAGGAAACGTCGAAAATTTAATCAAAAACTTTAAAAGTTTGGGTACTCACTCCACAAACTTGATAAGCAGAAACCTAAAGTACAATTATTCCTTTTGTTGGGGAGAATTCTCTCTTGGCTCAAAGAAGGAAAAGATAAAAGAAAAAACAAAATAGATTCTTTGCTTGGAAGGAGAAAAAATATATATATGTTCCTTTCCAAGCATACACGTATTGCATATTCATTTAAACACCAAAGTCCAGCAATTGTCTATCAAATAAAAATCCCAATTAAATAACCATCGCCCTGAAGTGCAGTGTAAGCAAAAATATCAACAAAAACCTACCCCACCCCCCCCCCACCCCTCTCGTCCTCTCCCTCTCTCTATCTAGAACTGAGCAGCAAAAGTGTGTGACAAATACCTCTGCAAAAACTTCGCCATCAATGGCGTAAAGCATTATCAACTATAACCTTGCGTACCGGAAACATTTATTTTCAAATGGGCAAAATCTTCACTCTACAATTATCCAAGAAAAGGATGCCGCAATGATCATATATAGATACAGTGTTGCAGATATAGAGAGAGAAAGAGAAAAGAGGTAATTGTAGTAAATATATGAGGAGACAAGCGAAAAGCAAAGCTGGGAAAGCACGGAGATCAGTTGTTGGAAGGACTTTTCGATTGCATCCATGAAATCACTGTGGCACTTGCTTTCTCTAGGATGAGTGAATCTGCTTACCGAGTTGAAACGACGTCGCGCCTCGCCCAATGGCGGATTGAAAATTTGGCTTCGTGCACTTACAGAAAATCAGACCCATTCAAGATCGGCAAATGGAACTGGTCAGGCATTTAAAAGCTTTTTAATTATTTTTCCACCTTCATTGTTCGATGAATTATTTGTGAACAGAGGAAATTCCAATAAATTTTCTCTGACAGGAAGAGTTTGAGAAAATCGAAGAAGGATTTTTCTTTTTCTTTTCTTGTTTCTAAAGAAATTGGCGGATACCAATGAAAATGAAACGGTGCCCCTTTTCTTTTGCTTTTGTTTTTTCAGATTAATTGAAAATTTTATTCTAATTCTAATTCAAGACCTGTGAAATTGTGATTTGAGTCCAGGATCCTAAATGAATTATTATAGATACTTTGTGTTTGCATTTTCTTGGCAAATTGTTGGCTCTTGAAGATTGTTTTTTAGATACTTTGTGTTGGTTCTTGAAGGGAATTTATTTATTTATTTATTTTTTCTTTTGAGTGAAGGCATTTATCTGTGGAGAAGAATCGGATTTTGTCCATTAAATTGTACCCGGAGGTATCAAACATAACTAGAGAAAATCCTCCAATTGCATCTTTTATAATTAGAGTGATATCCTCAGTGGGAGATCGCAAGTGTTTGGTTCATCCAGGTAAAAAAATTATTGGAATAATCACAATTATTATATTTGTCATTCTATTTTAGTTTTCACAAATTTTTAATCCTATGTTTCATGCAGAAGTTACTGATAAGCAGCTTAAAAACAACGACGATTTTGTTTGGGCAATTGAGGTTCCATTAACTGGGAAATTCATCATCGACGTTGAATTTCTTGATTTAAAGACTTCATCTCCTAATGTAAGAGTTAAAACAAAATTCATTCATGAGACGGAGCATGCCATATTCTCAAGGAATCGACTATAAATTATGAAAAACTTACTTGTTTTGAAGAAGATTTAACTGGATTTCTACCGTGTGCTTTCTTTCATGTTGTAAAAACACAGGGTGCAGAACCTTGTTCGATTTGGAGCGAAGGGCTTACACAAAGACAGTCAACTGGAACAGCTCTATCATCCCTTGGTCGAATGTTGTCTGAGAGGATTCACACGGATATTGTAATAAACGCATCTGATGGAAGCATTCCAGCACATCGTGCAGTTCTTGCTTCTAGGTCTCCTGTATTTCGAAGCATGTTCTCACATGACCTGAAAGAGAAAGAAATGTCTGCCGTAAACATTTCTGACATGTCAATTGAAGCCTGCCAGGCCTTTCTCAGTTACCTGTACGGTAACATAGAAAATGAACAATTCTTAACCCATAGACTACCCCTTCTTCGAGCAGCAGACAAATATGATATCTCAGATTTGAAAGAAGCATGCCATGAGAGTCTACTGGAAGACATTGACACCAGGAATGTGCTGGAGAGGCTGCAAAATGCTTCACTGTATCAACTGCCAAAACTGAAGACCAGCTGTATGCGGTATCTTGTGAAATTCAGTAAGATCTATGATATACGAGATGATTTCAATGCATTTATTCAATGTGCAGATAGAGAACTGATTGCCGAAATCTTTAATGATGTTCTCGCGACCTGGAAAGGGTTCTAAGTCCTGGCTAAAGGGAAATGGAAATAGCATGTCAGGCATTAGGTTTATATCTATTAGTGTTCACCATTCCTTGTTCACAAACATTCTTTCGTTTAAATGCCAATTGTTTGTTTGCATGTACAGACATTGCTCTCAATGTAATAGGTCCATGCTATCTAGGACCATTATGTATAATTTCATGAATTAAATTATATGAATATGATTGATATAATGAAATGCTACTTATTATTTATCATGTCCATATTGCATTCAAGTTGCGCTTTAGCTCTCAGTATTTTCATTTCTGGTTGATATCCTCCTCGCGATCAAATTTCGTGTCTTCTAATAATCCCATTCCCCATAGAAAAGAAAGAGAGAGAGCCAAAGATAAAGAGCTTGGTAGATGAACCTCCTACTTGTTAGAAGCTTTTAGCATTTCACACATTTTGTATGATTGAATTGTGAGAGCCTCTGGGTTTCTAAAGACTCGACAGTTTGATTGATGAAGCCATACTTGGGATTTTGATGAAGCAGCCACAAGGACAAATATGCAGGGCATTGTGTGATGCAGGAGAAACAACTCCGCTACTACGTAATCTTTATCTGCTATCTTCAGATCTATTTACAGCAAGATAAATTCAGCCAATAGAGACGTAAAACACCGTGAACAAAGAATCTCCTCACACCAAATTATTATGTGTCCTGGGATCCCCACTTATTACTGTTTCTCAAGCCAGGACTTGATATCATGTATATGTCTTTATCACTCAATAGCAATAAAGAGGAAGATTAAGATTTTGAGATTTCGTATCATGGATGTAAATTGAGCTGGTAAGATATGTGTTGGTCTAGCAGGTAGGTAAGCAGTCGATGTCAAGGGAGTCTAGTCAAGAGACCCCCCAGCTGTGTAAGTCTATAAAATAAGTTAGAATGTTAATAAAGCTGAATGGTCACGTCTTGTATATATGATCAATCATACAAAGCTAACAGAACAGCATGTGATTTTTCCAAGTTATAGTTGTAACTAAGGGTCCGTTTGATTGTAAACGTGGAAAATGGGTGGAAAGAAAATGAATTCCAGGGAATTGAATTGCTTGGAAATTGTTTTACTCGGAATTGTAATTAATTGTGTTTGATTGGCACCTGAAAAATGTTGAAAATTTGAATCTTTTGGTACTCGTTTGACTTTATTTTTCATGAAAATTGTCCATTAAAGATAATTTTTTTTTCACAATTGTGTATAGAATTTGTTTACATTGCAAAAACCAAAAAATAAAAAAATAAAGGCAAAAGACAGAAACCTGGAAAACCAACCTTGAAATCCTTGAAAACCCACCGTGTGAGCCAAACTTGGAATTACAAATGCCAAGAAAATTTTTTGTATCAAACAAGGCATTTTGGATGGAAATGGAAAAGGTTTTCCACTTTCCAAGGAAAATGGCTTCAATCAAACACAGCCTAAGATTAAGTTAAATACAATGCATCTGCTTAAGCCACTTGTGCCACTTAGCATGCTAATCTTTGTTCCCGTATTTTTGCCCTACGATGCACCGACACGGACACGTGTGTCCGATACGATACATATCGAATACGTGGACAAGCGATTTTTAAAAAAATACAGACACGACACGTCATCAACACGCTGATTAAATTCTTAAAAATTCTTCATTTATATAATATAAATTTAGTTTTATACTTGTTATTAATTTTTTTTGTTGAAATCTTTTAAATATGAGTATCTATTTGTTACTTACTAATAACTTTGAATTACAATATATAATATTTCTAATATCAAAAGAAAAATGATTACAGTTGAGCGTCTGAGAAGTGTCGGTATCGACTCATGTCCGACACACGCTACCCTAATTAAAGTATTTGTGCTACAGAGTTTTTGCCCAATCCACTTGGGATAGTAGCGTAACGGCTAAGTATGATGCCTCTTCTTAAGCCCATCGTACTACTGGATTTTGCTCATTCAGGGCAATCCAGTACGGGCCTTCCCTGGGGTTCGGCACAGCCTAATTTTCCCGGCACAGAAAATTGTGATGCCCAGCACGGTAGATCACAACCGTAGCCCTGTCATAAGGCAGCAAAGTTCCTATTAGGGAGAACTTGCCCTAATAAAAATTAGCAAAAAAGGGTTGCCTCTTTGCACATCAGAGAGTTGCAGAGAATTCAATGTTAGTTTTATTCTTTTTTAAAAGAGGCCAGCACGGGCAAACGTGGGCAGGTCCCAGGACTAGACTTCCAGGGTCATAACTAATGTGTAACCTTCTGCTTTAGGCCGGGGGACCAGCCCACTTGGACACGGGGTAGGCATGGTATCAACACTGTAGAGACAACTGATAACATTTTATCTTCTTCCCTGATCATGTCTAGTGATACACAGTCCAGTATGCCACATATATTGTAGCTGGCCAAATGACTACAGGATGATCAATCTACTCCCATTATAGCACCTCAAGATGCTAATTAAAGGAGGTAAACTCTTTTCTGAAGGAAGCCTATCAAATTGGATAACCTAGTTGTCAATATGTCCTCACATCTATGTACATCCAAACGGTTTAAAATATCTCATCAGCCACATTATCTATGTTGACAGGACAGAATTGATTGAGGGTTTGATAAATTTTGAATAAACAGAATCATCGTGCCTATAGATGCAATTGGAAGGCATGAGGATTCAATCAGGTCGAGCAGGGGAATTGGAAGCAAGTGACCAGATTCCATACAAAACCTTACAACCAGACAGTCCCCTGCCATAGGACCCTCTCTATCTGAAATCTCACCTTCCTCTGGAAATCTTGCCAGGTAGAGAGATGGAACTGATGAACGGTTGTAAATCAACTTTCCTAAACTTATTCCGCATACAGATATACTCGCACAAAAGAAATGTAATTGCAATGCACTGAATACCTATACAATACAAGGCCACCTATTCTGTGCATATTTACATCTAGAAGCTAGAGCTCTTTGATTGATGTTTGCTTATAGGTGGTACTGCGTGGTACATACATTTCAGTAAATTGTACTTAGACATGGAGATTTTATATTCTTGTAAGGATCGAAGTATTTATTATAAACATGGGAATTTTATTATTGCTTATTGATTTTAGATTGGATCTCTTCTTATGAGAACATATTATAATTGAAGTAGTTTAAAGCTACAAAAATGTAAGTTCAATAAAAATAACTCAAAAGTCAGTTCATCAATTGATAACTCACAAACAGCTCGCTTCATTTTTGTGCATTGACAACCTAATTCTGACCCAGAAGAAGGGGGAAAACTTCAAATTAGGGGATGGGGAGCCTAGAAATTCTGATATCAAACGAGAACTCAAATTGTAGTTTGATTATCGCTATTCATGAAGCTGCAAATATTCAATCCAGAAATTTCTAGTCGTTGATAACAAGTATTGATCTTACCTTAGCAGAACCATCTCAAGCTGGTTATAAGGGGCTGGTGACTCCTTATGCTCATGCTCTCTTTCTCCATCTTCATCTTTACAATTCCCTGAATCAGATACGTCGTTTTTTTTTTTTTTTTCTGAAAAATTCCTGCACTACGAACTCTGCCAGCTGGAGAGAGAGAGAGAGAGGTGGCAAATTTTTTTTTTTTTTTTTTGCTTGGGGGACTCGTTGAAAGCATATGGAGGGAATATTATTTGGATCTCCCAAATGAATTTCACTTTATATGAAAACAGTGTGAAGCTGTAGTGGGCCTAGAGCTATGCATCCGGATGCCTTATTGTTGCCAAGATTGTGGATAGAATCTGGCTAGCCCAAGCCTTGAATTTTATCCAATTGAGATTGGGCCAAATTATATAGAGATTCGTATTTGCATCATTATAAAAAGAGAAAATTACACAAGCTACCCTATTTATCTAAAAATTATCATATTTACTGTTCAACATATTTTATTCCAAAAATACTAATATAAATAAGTAGAAATGAAATCATCAAATCACCCCGTTCTTCTCGTTCCGTCAAATAAATTCCACCATTCATGCTCCATTATTCTCTCATAATTCTTTCCAATAATGTCTCCATTCATTTGTACAATAAATATCAACCCCTAAGGATGACAATACTTAACTCAAGGAAATGTGGTTCAACATTTTCGATGGATTTATTAAGTTGTCGATTAAGGAACTTTTCCCATTTTTTGATTTAAAATGCAATGGAGAACAAACAAATATAATAAGGGGAACTGCTGATTAAAAGAAAGTTGTTCAGCCAATCGAATAATGTATTCAGCAAAGATGTGAACGAGTTTTCTTGAAGATTTTGAACAAGTGTTTTTGTTTTGTCTTGTCTACTTTTGATATAACAGTGGACAAACTCGTGATTTTACGTCATTGTATTAGTTTGATAATTTTTTGGAAAAAATTGGGTGTATTTAGTTTATTTTATTTTGTGGTTAGTTTATATTCAAAATTTGTGTTTTGTTTGAAATCGTAGTATTATGAATAGATGTCTTGAAATGTTAAACACCTATTTCATTATCACGTTCGTCTACTTCATTTTGGTTACTGCTTAGCAGTGCAAGTTCATAATTATTTAAAATGTCTTCATATTTTTAGGTTTACAATTGCAAGGTTTCATCCAAAAGTAAATAAATACATTGATCCATACCAAACAGGCTCTTATTCTACGTTTGTCCCCCATTTTTTCTATTATATTACATTAATTGTTTCTCTCTTCATTTCAACCACACATTCATCAAATAAAATAATGTTACACACAAATCTAAATTTTTCATTACTTTTCTACCACACTTTCTCCCATCAATTACTATTCCAAAAAATTTCAACACCCTAAAATGGGGGCCAAACGGGGGCTTAATGTTTCTTCCAAAAAAAAAAAAAAAGAAATAAATAAATAAATTCAAAAATTGAGGATGTGTAAGACAAGCAATGTTTTCCATGGCTTAAACACATGGTTCTTCTTTCCCTTTTACCAGTATCGAGAACTTCTACATGTTTCAGATATTCAATTTTTTTCTTTAATTTGATAATCCTTAGATGATATGCAGTACAAAATCGGGAATGTATACCATAAGTTTACACGTGTCAGATATCATTTGTTGTCTACAAAAGTTCCGATTGACTTCTTGTACCGTACGTCGACTTTGTTCATTACAAATCATGCATTCTTCAATAAATCATGCATTACTAATTTTTAAAAGAGTTTCCTATTACAAAAGTGCTTTATAGAAAATTACATTGAACCAATTTATTTTAAAAGCTCTTCTAACTAAAAAAACAATTTCATAAAATTAGTCAAATGAATACAAAAGCAACTTTTGAATTTCAAAAACGCCTTTTAACTTTTCAAAAGAAATGTCAATGTGCCCTTAGACTCAGTATGCAGAATAATGAAGTACTTAAAACGAAAACAGGATTTATAGAACCATCCCAACTTTATTTCTATAAAAACAAGGAAACACAAAAAAATGTGAAGAGTAAATACATCTCTTGTTGCCTTAACACTGCATCTACTATTCTACCTATTCTAAAGCACCAACATTTTTAGAATAAATAAGCCAAATCCGAATTGCAACTTTTAGGTTAGTTTTCACATATTTTTAGCCTCGAACACAACAAATAATTGCTCGTAATCCCTTTTACATGTCATCAATTGTGCCTGAATATCACTATATTCATGGGCTAAAATCAGTTGGACAAGGTCTCGATGTTGTCGAACATGTGCCCACATCAATCAATTGTGTCCCCAAATTCCACCTCGTAATGCCGCTATCAAGTAAATTAGGGCCGCCTTCACTTATTCATCACAAAAGCCGATATCAAGTAAATTAGGCATTGATGCTTCCTTAACTTATCCACCACAAAAGCAACAAGATGTATTGCTTCGTCCCACCCTATGCATTGCACTTAGCAATCATGCACACCTTCGAAAATGGTATGACATTGAGCAAAATAACCCTCGTGCCATATCCATTTTCTCGATTAAGGTCCTTACACTAGGCTAATACCAATTCTCCTTCATATGTGGCAACAATTTGATATTTTTATTGGGATAGGAGTTTGGTGACATCAACTCGATCTGATGTTACTCCTTCACTCTTAGTACTCATTGATTTTTTTGACATTAATTATGAGTCACCTCGTTTTATTAAGTCGGTAGAATCCACCCACTTGTGTTGATTAGTACAAATAAATTTTCATTTTCATTCTTCTACTTATTTTCAACCATACATTTTTCAATAAAATAATATTTTCCATCACATCAATAATTTTTCCTTCTTTTTCAACCGCACATTCTCCATTGATCTACTATTCCAAAATAATGTGGCTCACACACATAGAATATACTAATGACATGTTTAACGCATAAGACAAATTTACAAAAGATAATTCTTAAGAATTCAGTCTCAATCGTTAATATGTAGTAGTGAACGTGTGAAATATCTTATTGGGTGAATGTGTGGTGGAGAATCTTATTGTAACAAACAATTTTTTGGAATAATAATAGACAACATTAGCTTAATCAAGCTCGTACGAGGTAATTGCCTCATCTGTTCTAAATTTAGTTCAACGACAAACCACTTATCAAGCTTAAAAATCTCAACCGATCAAATCCGTATCCACAGCAAATCACACCAACAAGGCAACAATAATTAATTGCATCAATTTTACAATTGAAATTACAAAGTAAAGTAGAGTAAAGAACACGAATCCTGTGAATCTTGGCAAATAAAGCAACTCCATATATTATTCTTATTCTAAACAAATCCAATCAATTTTGAGATGAATAATTAAAGACCCTAGTAAGGCGGAGGAGCATTGAAACCTAAAAAAGGGCGGCGTCCGTAGGCGGCGCCTCCACTTACGGCGGTGGGATCGTAGTCATGCACCGTATCCTTCAATTTGTGAAACCCATGCTTGAATACCCCAAAACCGAAGAGCATTCCAATGGCTATAACCACTAGTATGATGCAAAGGCAGAAACAGCACACCTTTGTTCCACAGCACATCTTGAATTTCCTTCGCTGAATTCTTTGTTGTTTTAGAGAAGAAGAAAGAAAAACTTGAATATGAGATTGAATCTGAGATTTGGGGGTTACGAGATAATAGGGTTTTATTTGAACAATATATAGAGGTGGGTGTTGCAGTTGATTGCAGGCAAAAGAGAGGGGAGGAGTGTAAGTTTTGACGACTCATGGAGCTACTATACTACTAATGCGGGTGGGAATCTCTTTATTACGTTACGTTACAAAATAATGAATTCTAGGGAATCATAAAAGTTGGGTGGTAAAGCTTAGATAATTGCCGTTACGGTCCCAATTTTTTTTTGTTTTTCAGATTTTATTCAAATATTTCATTTATGTCAATAGACTTGTTAGATCAAAATGAATGATTTCCATTCATACTTCGTGAGTTGACCAATAAAATTAAGAGCACGTTTGGGTCCTATTTTTATTAAGAAGAATGCACTTTGGAACAGAGTAATGATATTCATCCCCATACGATTGAGCCTCAGTTTACGTGGCATTTACATGGCATTAAATGATATATTCATTTAAATAAAAAATTACATGACTCATTTTATTAAGTATATCATTTAATATCATGTAATTGTCACATAAACTGTGGCTCAACCTCAGTGGGGATGAATTGCATTAATAATTTATTGATTGAAAATGTGTGGTTGAAAGTTAAGGAAAAATTTTAAATTTGCGTTTAATTTTATTTTATTGAAAAATGTGTAATTGAAAAGAAGATGAAAAAAAATATTTTTGGAAAATAATATGGATGAAACAAAGGCTAAAAAGGGTAAAATAGTAACTTTATATTTTACATAAAATAATTAAATAAAAACAGAATTAAAACTTCATCACCCTTATCAGAACCCATTCACGCACGGTCGGCCACGGCCCATCCGCCACCAAATATCACTGAAGGCTGAAGTACAGAACGTCGCCGCCAAGACCTCGATTGCCGTAGAGATGACGGCAACAATGAAAAATCCTTTATCGTATGTCGAACCGTATGCCACATCGCCATCGTCCCTCTGCCGTCTCCGCCAACGCCACCAATCGAGCCACCCCCAGTAACCACAACCGCAAGCCCATCGACCTCCCACAAACTGCTGCCCATTAACAAACTCTAAAACAACATATCTGTGACTGTGACTGCGCATTCATCTCCTCAACAGCCACCACTGTCGGTTACCTCTTCGAAGACGCACCGATAATCCAAAGACTCACCACCATTAAGCCACCACCAAATATTGTTATTGGAAAAGTCATAACATGTGTAAGACAATTGTTACTTGTAGAGTGGGAATATGGAACGGCAAATCCTATCCCCAAAATATCAGTTTTTTGCCAAATTAGTGTCAAACGAAAGTTCAAGTCCCGTACAGAAATTGAAGAATGAAAGCTTTGAGCCTGATCATCCACACACTCTTTTATGACATGGAGACCGTGACAATTTGCAGTGGGTGGTCGTGGCAAATTGTGTCAATGCATTCGATGAGGTAGGCAAGGCCTGGGTTGGGGTGGGGCTGCGCGGGTGATGGATGAAGATGAGTTTTAACTTTCGAGTGTGCTTAAATAATGGTTTACATAATAATTTACATATACACGGGATATTGTAAAATATAATTGGATTAGAATTTCTTCAACCAAATAAAAACATGGAGACCGTGACAATTTGCAGTGGGTGGTCGTGGCAAGATGTGTCAATGGATTCGATGAGGTAGGCAAGGCGTGGGTTGGGGTGGGGCTGCGCGGGTGATGGACGAAGATGAGTTTTAATTTTCGAGTGTGCGACACGTAAATAATGGTTTGCATAATAATTTACATACACAGGATATTGTAAAATATAATTGGATTAGAATTTCTTCAACCAAATTAAAAAAAAAAACTCTCCACTCTCTTTTGACACTTCAACTATATATAAACTATTATGTAATACTATTATGTACAAGTAACATTATTCAATTTTCAATTATTTTCATAAAATATATAATTACTATTTTACCCTTTTTGAAATTATTAAAAATATGGTCAATTTTTATTTCTCCTGTTAACTAACGGAATATGGATGAAAATCACACATTTTGTCCTTGTGTTGCAACTATTTTAAAGGTTTAGGACTGTGAATAACATTGATGAAAGATTTAGGTAAAATCTACAAAAAAGGAAACGTATGGGATAGTGCCTACAATTACCCTAAAAGTTAATATCTTAGTTTTCTTGTCCATCAGCATCAATCAAAAAATTTGTTTGGTTTAGATAAAAAGAGTTCTCTTTTTCTTTTTCCTTTTTAATTATTCGAAATCGAATAAATTATCGATCAAATCAGTACTCGATATTTTGGTAAAATTTATGAGATGTTAAATTCAACCTGAAAATTCAAATTTTCATATCCTCACAATCAAGGAGTTGTACGGTTTTCTAGCTTCTCAATGCGTCAAATTGGAATAAGAGTTCACTTACATCTCGAAATTTGTAAAATTGAGGAGCTGAAAAAACATTTGAGTTTAGATTATACTACATCCATCCCATAAAGATAGTTATGTTTTTCTTTTTCATTTGTCCCAAATTATTGTCATGTTTTTTATTTGAAAGTGTAGTTAAAATATTAGTTTCTAATATGTTCATATTTAATATGTTTTGTTATTACAAATATAAATAACTTTATTAATCAATTGTAGTTGAAATAATAAATTAAAAATCAAAAAATTCCATCTTCCATGACATATATTCATTTATCAGGTTTAAGCAACGTGCAATGCACGTTTGCTTAGTTTATATATAATTTTTTTGGTTAAGAATTAAATTTTTATTAATAAAGGTGTAATTTTTTTGGTTAATTAAATAACTAATGATGTAATGTTTATGTAATTGATAAATAATTACACATTGTGATATATTAAAAAAGAGCATTAATAGAATCTATAGCATAGTCTTATAAATAAACATCGCTCATAATTTTATGAAAGTTATTTGAGATAATTTTGATTCTAAGATAACGATTCAACACTTTTCTCATTTTGCATTGCTTCAATAGAGAGGACATTAAACTGCCTATATTTTTTCTCCTTTAGTTTTTCTAGATCTACATAAACTTGAATCTTCCAAATTTCTTTTGATAATTATTAATTTCTCTGCAACGCTTTTAACATATGGTCGATTTTCCTACAAAATAAAATTTGAATAGGTTCACATAATTAATAAAAAATTCAATTATTTTTTAAATAACTCATTATAATAAAAATCAAGTTTTGAAGAAAAATTTAAGAAATACATCTCCCGCGTGCCCCATCAATTCAACTGTTGAACAACAAATTGCATGTTCTGCTACTTCACCAAACATAATAGCAGCTAATTTTCCAATATTATCGTCTAATTCAACATATCCCCTAGCACTTTAAATGCGTTGAATATATTAATTTTAATTTGAATAGTGTTAAAATTGTAAGATACATACCGTGATTTACAGACCCCTTGACTTTTGCAATATATACAAACGAAGCTTTCATTATATTTATATTCAGTTCTTTTATTACAGTCAACGCATGACATGTAATAAAATATTTGGACAAACTCAATCACATTTATCTTCGCTTATATCCAGAATTTTGTTTTATACATTAAATCATAATCAATTTTTAGAATGAATGTTAGTGTAAAGACAAAAAAATGTATAAGTTTGTGTTTCGTACTATTATATTATATCAAATTTTGCACTTAATCATGAGCTTTTTGTACATAATAAAATAATAGATAACATTACAATAAAAAACTAAAAAAATAAATATTTTTTCTTCATTAAGTTCAATATACCTTATCAAATAAATTATTAGCATTTTTAAATTGATAATCTCCACGTCCATTTTTTTTTTGTTTGTTTAATTTTTTCATAATAACTAAAATGTATTAGTACAAAGTCTTTTACATTTTCCATTCATTTATTATTAGATAATGGAATTCCAATAGACACAACATCAATTGCCCGCAAAAGGTGGCTTAATTGCTATTTAATGGAAACAATAAAATTAACGGTGAAAAAAAAAGTTTTCCGTTAAAACAACCAATTCCGTTAGATTTTCTGTTAAAACAAGAATTTTCGTTTCATTGGCACTTTTTATATATAGAAGATACTTGGAGTATAAAAGGACCCATGTTTTGATAAAATTTGAATGTTCACTTTTTTGGCAATTTTTTATTGTTTTCTCGTTAGATGACTCTGAAATGTTAATTACATTGATTATTGTATTAAACAATTATTAATATCAAGAATAGTGAAATTACTTGAATGTCTTGCATAATTTAATTATTTTGAACATTGATTACATTAAATATAGGGACATATTAGAAGAAATAGTAGTAAAATTTAAGGTTTCAAATATATTAATTAAATTTTCTTAATTTGAGTGAAATAAAAAAAAAAAAACAAGACTATATTTATGGGACGAAAGTAGTAACATTTACGATTGTCCTCTAATTTTTAACGAAGATATTGAAGAATCTAGAATTCGGGAAGAATTTGATGGTTTAAATTGAGTAATCTGCAAACGTTTTTTTATTTAAATCCGTAGAATTGGTACAAGTTAGTTAGAATTTTAAGAGGTTTGATCACAATAATTTCTGCACGCTGACCGTTGGGTTGAAGAACTGGAACTTTTTGTTACATACTTACATCCAATTAAAGGAAGGAGGACTCAACTGGATATTCTAAAGAGAAAAATTCCCTTAAGTACAGAAGTTATTGACAGATTTTTTTAAGAAATTTGAAATTTGTGAATCTTGTCCCTCAATCTGTGTTTTCCCTCCTCACGTGATTGAATCCCTTCCCTCCAATTCAAATTCCTGTGTGATTTCTGTGAGTATTTCTTGTACTCATAGTAGGACTGTTCTAAAGAACTTGTAGTTTTTTTCTTTTTTTTTTAAAGTTAATATTTTTATTCAATTTCGTTATTTAACGAAATCAAGAACCTATAAATCCTAACAACCATGCTACAAGTACATGGAGTTTGACATGAAATTTTACATGGTTCCACGTGTCTAGCATGATTGACCAGTTTGAAAATAAAAAACAGTTTCCCGTCCATTCACTTTTGAATTTACAAAGTCATGTCAAAAACAACAATGCTACAAGTATAATTTTTTTGACATCAAGTTTGACAAAATTTTTTTGAGATCTAGGTTGACAATGTGCCACATGTTGAAGGTTGAGTGGCCAGTTTTTAAACACCACACACTATCCCGCCCATTCGAATTTGAATTAACATGAATTGTCAAATTCCTTGTCAATTATGAATTGTACACAAAGCATTATTCTGTCAAAAACCATGTACAAAAATCATGTATAATGGTTTAATCCAAATCCCTATGTGCCAACTTGCCAGGTACTTGCCTAGAACGGTGAAATAATAATTTCAATCAATCATCGACATTCATTGAATCAGTCAACATTCTTTCCAAATTCTCCACTATTCCCTAAAATGTTATTCGTTTATTGTTTTCCACTTTCTTACTACATCAAAAATTAAAGATTAATACTATTCATCCCTACTAAGGATGAAAATACGTAGCGTTAATATGTCATTAAATATTAGGTGAAATTAAATAAGTCATTTAATTTTACCATTCATTTAAAGACACCTAAACTGTGTTTTCATTCCCATTGAAAATGAATAACGTTACTCAAAATTAAAATCTAACTCTAATAATGGCAAATGAAGTATTTTTTCTGCCATGCCCCCCTGATTGGTTGATAAAAATTAATAAAATATGTGGTTTAAAAATTGATAGAAGTTATGAATCTCATAAAATTTTTGATTAAAAATATTTTTCAAAAATATTAATAAATAAAAGCTAAATAGCGGCCTTATTTAAAACTATTAGAAAAAATTATAAATTTTACTACCTACTATATTGTTCATATATACCCATTATATTGAAACACATGTAATTTGACTAGGGATGATTACGGGATGGGGCGGGATTGAGGTGGCCCTCTCTATATTCTCGTCTTGTCAAAAAATTTGAATTTAATTAATTTATCATCTCGTCTACCTGTTAATGTTATTTTTTCAAATACTATTGAATTTTTTTTTTTAAATAAAAAAATCTATTCCAATTCCT